TAAATTGGTGGGCTTCTCCACTCACTAGGTGCTCTTGCACTACCTCTCACACACACACTAATGCAAGACTAAAGGTGAGTCCCACACTTGTCATGAATCCAAGTAAGCTTCCAAGATTAAATATTAACCCTACACTTGTCAACCATCCATGCCAACAAGTGCACCAATCCTAGGACAACAAGTGGGTGAATCTCCAACCTCCATGTGTCATGAGATAAAGCCTCCAAGTGGTTCCACCACAAAATCAACAAGTGGCACCATAGGAATGTGACACTTGTCACATTTTCTGAAAATTACAAAAAAGTCATTTTTGAAAATATCTTCCAATTTAATTTGCAAAATGGTCCCTAAGACGAAAAATAATTACTTTACTTAATTACCCAAAAACCCCTCAAGTTATGGATAATTGCAAAAAGTCTTGTTTTAATGGCTTTTACAAAGAAAGTAAGCATTTCATATGCATTTCTACAAAAGTAAAAATGTAGATGTCATGGAATTTAAATTTCATGAATGTATGCAAAACCGGAATCAAATCCGAGCACAAAAAATGAGGTTATGCAAGTAAAAGTGAAAAACGAGAAGAGGACGAAATAAGAAAAAGACGAAAAATGAATAGTGTCAAAAAAAAAAAAAATGTGGAAATAACTCGATCCTCAAAGGAAGTTGTCAATCCAAAGGAAAGAGTCTCAGAAACTGATGAGCACCGAAAAGTGCGCATTTAAACCCGTTAAGCTTAAGCATTCTAGTACCTTTATCTATCTTACTTTGCCGTTTTAGACTTATTACGTGTTATTTATATTTTCAGGCACTAATCCCAAAATTGAGCTAACTCAGCCAAATAAGAGCTTAATTGAAGCAATCCTGAGATAAACCAAAGGAGGGAGCAAAGTGGAGAAAGAAAGGAGCAAAAATGAATCAAAGTTGTGCAGCTGAAAAGTTCGATCGATCCAACTTAGAGTTCGATCGATCGAACATCTATGATCGATCACAGTACTTCTCGATAGATCCAACCTTGGCCTTTGCTGAAATTCCAAGTTCGATCGATCTAACATCATATTCGATCGATCGAACCCTATTTTGTCCTATTCAAATGATTGATCTTATCCACAGCTATACGCCTACCAACCACTTTTGTCCTTTTTCCGGAGGAGTCAGACCACTTCGATCGATCCAAGATGCAGTTCGATCGATCGAACCCATCTTCGATCGATCCAAGTTAAGGTTCGATCGATCGAACTTCCTCCAGCGAGAAAAAGTTAAAGTCCAGCCCATTTATTCCGTCCTTCACCCAATCATTGGAGAATATGCCTTGCACGACCACAGCTCATCATAGGGTGTATTTTACCTACCTATATAAGGAATATGATACACTTTTTGGAGGAGCTCTCTCTAGTCTCTTGTCACACATTGAAAATCATCTTGGAGGCTATTCTTGGAGAGGAAGAAGGGAGGAAGCTAGAGCACCATTGGAGGAGATCTTCACCAACAAGGAGCAGCCATGGAGTTAGCCCTTGAGGGTTGGATCATCACTACCATGAGTGGCTAGACATCTTCTTGGGGCTAGAGTTAGCCCCAAGCATGCTTTCTATACTCTAATCTTGTGTATTATTGAGGGATTAGTGTTGTATGATACATCTTAATATTCATGTATATATAAATCTTGATTATTTCATGGTTTGTATGGTTTAATGCTTCCAATTGACTATTCTATTCTACCCATATGTCTATGTATGCTAGAGTAGGATATTCATGTGCTTATCTCTAGATTTAGTGTTTTTGATGCATGTCTATGTGTATTGATGCTATAGATCTAGAGATTATCAAGATGATATGCTTAATGAATGCTATTTTGGTTCATTTGATGGTTTATGCCTATTCTTGATGGTTTGTGCCTCTCCCCTATTCTAGATAGCTTTATTTTCATGCTAGTAGTGTAGATTTAGTGTAGTGGTAGTATAATGATAGATGGTAGGACAATCTACTCTTGATGTTTGATGTTCCATGCTTGTGAGTCCAAATGGCATATTCCTCTAATATTGTGTTGTATGTGGATTGTGAGCTTAATAAAGGATTAATGACTTGTTTTGATCTATTGTGCTATCCCCATGTTGTCTAGACAATATATGCTCTATTATTTAGATATATTGTGCTCTTCACATGATGTTTAGACAATACTTGCTTGATTTGTCATCCTTGCCAATTGAATCAACCTAATGCACACACACCCTTATCATATTGCAACACATCCATTACCCTCAATTGATCACTTGTTAGTAGTATAGAAAAGTATTGCTTGGTGGTGATCTCTACACCCCAAGACCTCTCTCTCTCTTGTTTACCTCATATTATTTTATTTAGTTGAATTCAATTTAGCTTAATCAACCAACCAACCAATTGTGTGATCACTCGACCTACTAACCCTAATTACCATAGTTTCACAACTCGATACACCATCAAATCCCTTGGGACGATCCCTACTCGCCCTATCTATATTTTATATAGAGAAAGGTAGTAGTGGCTTTTTATAAATGTAAAACTTGGCCACCTCCTAAATTCACACAACTCTTCAAGCTTGACTTGGTATCGCGACCCTTATAAAAGAGGACCCGGTCAGAAACCATTTCCGAGCACTCGAGACGACACTAAGAGGCAAGAAATCGAACCCGAAAAGGAAAAGATAATGAAAAAAAAAATTTATCCGCAAAATTTGAAGATAAAGGGAAAAGGAAGAAAATGACCAGGTCATTACAAATATCACGAGGTTTGTTTGTGTCGCCTCCCAAATCACCAAACGTCTAGGGTTTCAGAGGAGAGAGAAAATATCAGGTCGAATGTTACAAATGGCTTTTAAACTTGTTTCTTCCGCTACAGTGTTCGACATAACTTATTTCCTCCGTTACAGTGCTTCTATTGTGCAAACAGTATTGAAACAAGAAAAAATACCATTTTGGTGTTTCACTTTTTGGCCCAATTTTTGACAATGTTTTAGTACTGTTTAAAACAAAACAACAGCTACCAAACATGTTTTGGGCTTGAAATGAGGCCGTGTAACAAAAACACCTAAAACAAAATAGCTACCAAACAGGCCCTAATAATGTTTTGTACAGTAATATCTAAATTGAGTTTTATGATAAAAATATCATACCTCTAAGATTAACCCTAATGAAGCAAAGAAGATCAAAAGTTGAAGTTAGGAGCATCAAAGTTAATTTGGACTTTAAAGGCCAAAAATAAACCTCAAAGTTCAAGATACGAAGACAAAGGCTCAATGATTAACATCAAAGCTTGACGAAAAGGGTAGATAGATTGGTGAGTTACTTAGGAATTACTGTCAAAGTAACTATGAATTTTCTTGAAGCTTATCTTATAGGATCATGCACATTCACATTCTTGTGCATAGTTAATCCTTCAAATATCCCAGGTGTTAGTCATGTGCTTCAACATTTAACCTAGATAAGTGCACAAGGCCATAAAGTTCCCTGAAGTGAAAAACATTCAAGAGTTGAACTTTCGGTCGACTGGTATATTGAATCAGTTGACCGGTATCTAAATAAAATTGAGACAGTAGCCTTGCAAACTGAAAACCTGTACCAGTTAATTGATGGATGAATCGGTCCATTGGTTTAGAAGTTTTAGCCGACTAAAAACTTGCATCAGCCGACTGGTATGGCTTAAATTCAAAACCAACGGCCATATTTGCATTTAATGATCCCCAATAACCCTCCAACAACTATAATCTTCAGATTTCTCTTTATATAATGGCTGGATATGTATAAGATACATATCTTTGACAGAGCATTGAAGATCACTTAATATCTACACTTGAGCATTAGTTACATCTTTCATTCTCTCACTCATTTCTTCATAGACTTGAGCTTCAATTTGATTCATTAATACTCTAGTCTTGTGAACTTGTGAGTTGAATATCTATTTTTTCAAGAGATATACATGTACTAAACACTTCCTTCATTTACTATAAAGGGTTGGTGTGACTCAAAGAAAGCCCAAGAGAAGGAGTTTCTCTTAGCAACGAAAGAAGAAGCAAGTTCACTTCAAATTGTACGGGTTTGCTCTCCACCACAAAGGAGGGATCTTAGTGGATTTGGGAAAGTCTCATGAGAGATCTTGAGCCAAGGAATAGGAGTTTTCGAACTTCGCTAAATCGGCTTGTCATAATTTGCAATTTCTTTTCCCTTATTTCCTTTATTATTTTGCTTTTACTACTTGGTTTATTATCCATCTTATTGCACAATTACATAAAATTATTTGTTTCTAAATTGCATATCTATAAATTGAAAATTAGTCATTGTTTACTATAGAATCTTTTCACCCCCTTCTGGAGTCAATACTTGGGTAACAACATGTAATTTGAGAAATTATTATATAGTGAGGGAGTATATGATCTCGGCTAGTCACAGGCAGTCATTCAAGTAAAAATCCGACACATTTACTTGCATGATAGTATGTGATTGACCGAGCCATGTAAAAATTTCTTTGTAAATTTGTGTGGTGATATGATTAACAAACAATATCGTACTATATTTGAAAAATTAAAATCTAGTCAAATAAGTTAGGAAGCACGGGTACAAATACGGGACACAGGTATGATATGATAAGGGCACGAATATAGATATGAGACACATGTACGATACAATAAGGATACAATGATATGACAACTTTTAAAAAATACGGACACGAATACGGACACATCCTGAATACATAAAAAAAATAATAATACAAATATATTATTATATGTAAAATATAGAATTTTTTACTCTTTTTATCCATACAATCGTGAATACTAATTTGAAGTTTAGAATTGAATATTTGTTATTTTTGTTTTCTTAAATTTTATGTTACTTCTTTAATTAACCCATACTATTTTTTAAATTTCCTAGCATCTCCTACTCGTTGACCAATCATTGATCCGATAGGCCTGGATTTGGGTCTGGGTTAAAGAATGGGCCGTTCCAGACCGTCTTGGCCCGGCCCACGCCATATTTACCACAACTATACGAACATGCTGCGCGAAGCGCCTATTCTCAGAAAGAAGAAAAACACAGTACGGCGGAGTTGAAAAAGGTTTCTCACCGCCACCACGCCGCTTCGTCTCTCCGCCCCTGCCTCCGCCGCTTGTCATCCTTTATCGTAATCAATCTTTCCATCATCTTGTTTTGACTAAGGGTTTTCAATATATATATATATGCATCTCTGCGCGCGCGCACACATGTTCGTATATTGTAGACAAGTATGAAATTGGTATATTTTAAATTAATTGTTCCCAATCTCAGGATTATCATGGGTACATCAAATAACAGAGACCTCTTGACCTCGTTTAGTCCGGCTTTAGACTTCTTAGCTATCAGTTCTGGAGATGGTCGAATTAAGGTACCCAACTTGTAACTCTCTCGAAACATCTGTAACTGAGCGATATTCAATATTTAGTTGAATATGAATATGGTATAAGTTTGGTGTATAATAAGGCTGAATAATGTACTTTTTAGGAAATGTATATATGAATATGTACGTTTTTGTTTTATTAATGGGTTTTATGAGGTTTAGGTGTATGTAAAAATGATCTTTTTGTTTTGCTTCTTAGATTTGGGACACTTCGAAGGGTCAGCTCCAGATTGAGTTTACAGATATTGTGTCAAACGATGGAGTCAATTTATTGACTAAGCCGGGTAGTGGGCACCTTTCGGTTGATTATACGTGCATGAAGTGGCTGTCTTTGGACAAAAAGGTTGGTTTTTCTACACATAATCTAATACGGTATTGCTTCATTGATGCTGTTCTGAAACTGTGACCCATAATTTTATGTTTTGCAATTGGCATATTCATCATTTTCAGAAAAAGAGGAAGCTTGGTAGTTCGTTGTTGGTGTTAGGGACCGGTAGTGGTGATGTTTTAGCCCTGGATGTATCTGCGGGTCAATTGAAGTGGAGAGTCAGTGACTGCCATCCCGGGTGAGTTTCTTGCTGAAATTTTATACTATGATGAATGTTATACTACTGTTGGATGGCTGATGAATGAAGCTGCGAGCTAACATATCAGGCTAGATCAGTAACAGTTCGTTCAAGCTAGGTCACCAATTATATGAATTAAGTCTGAGCATGTGTTTGAAGTTTAATTTCTTAGCCAGCAAACTTTTATCACGCAGACCTCAACTCAGTTTGGAGGTTGAACCCTTTTGTTATTGTTTAAAGAAGCTTGAACCTTTTTTTTTTATAGGTTCCATATAATCATATTAATGAAATTTCTAATGGAACTTACATAAATAAACAACAGGGGCATTGGCCCGCGTGGTATGAATTCTCCTCCCCAAAAGGGAGATGAGTGGTTCGAGCCCCTGTTCACGGGAAATTGTTAATTCTAATATAAAGCTAGAAGAACTAAGCTAGAAATTTACCCTCGTTTTGTTTGGTTGGATGGAAGAGAAGAGAATAAGCTCACAATTTATAATGTTCGTTAAGAGAGAAGGGAAGAGAGTTCTAAATTGGTTTTACTATTATACCAATCACTATCTATAATATTGTAAATTGTAGAAGATAGTATTGTAATTTAAAACTTGTATAATTTAGGATAGTAGTGTAATTCAGAACTTCTATAATAGCCCCACTTGTCTTCCCTCCTCTCTTCTGCCCATGTTTGGAACTAAGCTTGAATGAATTAGTTAAGCTCGGGTCAGAGCCTTGGTTCGACTCCAACTTGTCAAAATTTTACTGAACGAAGCCTGAATAATCAGTACTTGATTCAATGTGGTTCATTTGCTGCCCTGTACTTTTGTAGCTGTCACCATTGGTATATGGAAATAGTGTTGGTGAATTTATATATTTTATTCACAATATATCACAAACTATAAGAGCACCTTTTTATCTTCTCTCCACCCCCCTTCCTTCTTTCCTACCAAACAAAGCATTAGAGTATATTACGAAGTTGTAAATGCAAATTCGTATTAGCTGTTCTTAAATTGTTAAGAGCCTAATGTAAAACATTGAGTGTTAAATCCATATAACAAGCTCATGAGGTTATTGAATAAAGTTCAATCTCATCAAATATAAATAAACTAAGCTTGAATGAACTAGTTAAGCTCAGGTCAGAGCCTTGGTTTGACTCCAACTTGTCAAAATTTTACTGAACGAAGCTTGAATAATCAGTACTTGATTCAATGTGGTTCATTTGCTGCCCTGTACTTTTGTAGTTGTCACCATTGGTATATGGAAATAGTGTTGGTGAATTTATATATTTTATTCACAATATATCACAAAATATAAGAGCACCTTTTTATTTATTTATTTATTTTGTATAGTCTTCAGCCCGTATTGACTTTTGCTTATTTGTACCATGAATTACATGGAGTTTCTAATTGCTTTCATTCAGAGCTTTATATGATGATATGATACACTATTGATACTATTTGGCTTTATCTATATAGTGCATCCAGAACCTGGTAAAATATTGAGAAAACTACAGTTTAATGGTAATTTCAGAAAGTAACTTGTGCAATTAAGAACCATAATGTGATTTGTAGCTTGCAACCTTTCTTTGAGAGTGTAATCAGTTAATTTGCTACTCATCAAATTAATGGTGTTAATAGAACATATGTAATATAAAAATGAAACACCTACATTTTTAAAACCTGACAACATTTTCTTAAATTTTAATGACAATATATGCAGGGGTGTCACTGCCATTTCATTTCCTACAGATTGTTCATGCATTTACACAGCGGGTACAGATGGAATAATTTGTGAACTTGATTCCATGACTGGGAACTTGTTGGGCAAGTTCAAAGCTTCTACAAAGGCAATATCTTCTATGTCTGTTTCGCCAGGTTTATACCGTTACTCTTGCTTTATTTTCTGTAGAGTAGTAAGCATTTATTCTCCCTAGTGGGCTATCTGGGCTCCTATCATAAACGTCTAGGTGATGCAAGTTGCTTGAAACACCAAGGTGATTCTTCCTAGATAGCCATTTTTTATTTTATTTTTGATAAATAAAATGTATTAGAAAGCGTTCAAAAGTGGAACGCATCCCAAGAGATATACAAGGAACCAAACAAAAACCCTATGGACCCAAAGAACCCAAAAAGTCCACAATCTCATCTAAAGATATACAATTTCTCCCCATCACCCAACTAAAAAGAGAACTAATAATAACAAATTTCAGCGCCACAATGGTGGTTTCCTTCCCATCAAAAGATCTTCTATTTCGCTCTTTCCAGATGCTCCACCAAACACAAAGGGGGGTTACCCTCCAACAGACATGAGCATCAACCCACCCCCCCCCCCCCCGCGGCCCCTCTAAATGTCAATCAACTCCCTTGAAGACTGAGGCATAACCCAATGGATGCCAAAAGACCAAAAATAAGACTCCAGCAATCATAAGCCATAGGACAATGCAAAAGAAGGTGATCCACAGACTCTCCATCATTCTTACACATACAACACCATGATCTGTCTTTTCTTTCTCAAATTGTCCAGACTCAGAATCTTGCCCAAAGCTGCAGTCCAAACAAAAAATGCCACCCTGATAAATTTAAATTTGTATTGGAACACAACTCTGTTATGTCTTGTGTATCTGTAGATATTGCTCTTCTACTGGTGCATAACTGGGCAGAAAAATTTGTACCATTGGAAGTTGTCATTGTAACGGTACATATTGCCTGATGACAAAAAATTAGCTCTAAAACAGTTGTTCATGGAGGTTTTCTGAGTCAGTTACTAGTGAAGAAGATAATTGAGGGAGTTGGTTGTGTTGATGGAATAGATGATCTAGGAGATCAGGAGTAAGACTGGGGCATCATCAACAACTAGACTTGTATGAGATGAGTGGGAATTATGTGTGAGTCTGAGGCATTGGCAATTACTTCATCTGGTCAATTAGTTAGGTGTGAGTTTCTGTTAGGGATTAGGTGTAACCTTTTCTTCACATAATGAATTGATTCGTTCTGGACAAGGTTTTGTGGTATTTTCAATTAGGTGTGAGTTCATGTCATGGTTTAGGTGTTCCTGTAATGAATTGATTTGCCCTTGACAAGGTCTTGTGGTATTTTCCATTTTGATTTTTCCGCATAGAAGTTTGTTGTCTCTTTCCTTGTCTTTTACTCTTCTTCGATTTATTTAATGTCTGTTTGGTTGATTTGATTTGTGATTGGATGAATATTTTAGTTAAAGTTAAAATCAATGTAAAAGAGCAAATGAGACTTGTTCACTCTCCTCTAAGTCTCTTTTGTATCAGAGAATTCATATGGAGTTTTCCGCTGCGCTACTGTCATGTGTTTCAAATGATTTCTTTAAGTAATGAAAAGACAAAAACATTAGAATTACTATTCTCCCTTTTATTTTTATTTTTATTTTTTATTATTCCACCTCCATTATACAAACTAATCTTCACCACTACCACATTCTTTCACTTCAATCAAACCCACCACCATCTCCACCTTTGTCAACCAAACCAATTGCTATCACAACTTCCACCTACTTTTCTCTTTACACCAAATCCCACTAAAACCTCTATCAATCAATCCCATCACCCCACCATCACTGACTCTCATTCCCAGCAAAATGCAAAATAACTTGATTCACTGACTCTCATTCCTCTTGCACACGCAACACCGATTAATCAAAATTTGTTGCCTCTTCCTCAAATAATCAAGTGTCAAGATCCTCCTCAAATCCATTGTCCTTCCAAAGAGAGCTACCTTCAGAGGGACTCGTCTTCTAGACTGCTTTCCATGGAAAGGTTACTGCCTGAACACCCTGAAGGAACTGGTAAAAGGATCACAATTCACACCTTAAAAACCCCACGCCGGAAGGCCGCCCAACTCCACCCATCATGACCCTCACTATCCACATCTTGCTGTTCCAGTGAACCAAAGAAAACTACTATATCCTCCATCATGCAGTATATCCAAGTCAACCTCTTGTTATCAAGCTATACTAGTCTTTTGTGATGTTGACATGTCTCAGATGAGTTACTTGCAGTATGTTTAGATTTG